CAAGTGTGATTGGACACACAAGGAATTTGTCTTGGTGCAAATGCTCTCGGTGTACATAAAAGAAAAGATACATTTGTCAAGAGTCAAGAATCATAAGGTACAACACTTAATGATAGTCATAGGGTACAATAAGCAATCAAATCATATTAGGAAACAGTCAATATAAATCATAAGGATACAAGCGATAAAGTTACAGTCATACAGTCACTATCATTCTATCTATGATTGTCCATTAGGACTCCAAGATCCCTCTCGCAGTTACTACTATCAAGCCAGGTACTATCTATACTATACCTGAGCACTTGTTTGTTTGTTTTTTGCCTCAATGTAGCACCTTAATTTTTTTCACCACTGAATTTCATCTTACAAAATGAAGACTGTACTTAGTTTCATTTTATGCACTTTGTCCAGTCTTCCATTCCTTGTGCTAAAGAATTTTTTGCCTGCAAGATGTAATGTAATGTACTTACATTACATATACAGGTCAAATTACAACTGTTCGTTTAATTCAATGGCCCTGAAAAAACTGACTTGACCATTGCAGCCTCCCCATGACTGTGGGATCCAAATTTGGGTGCCTGGCAACTGGCATGAAGGTTGAAGCATCCAGGATCACATGATTCACCATGGGCGACCTTCCCAGCCAGCTTCCCACAAGCAATGGGGGAAGCTGGATTCGCTTAATGACCACACAATTCATTTAACAACTGCACTGATTCACTTAATGACCATGGCAAAATTTTGTAAAAGGAGGAATTGAAATTCTGCTCTTATTTCTGGCTGTAGGTTGAGGACTATCTGTATAGGAATTCTAAGAGACCATATATAAGTGGGATCTTCTCTGAATCTTTGCCTTGTTTTCAGTAGGGGAAACTGTAGATCAGGGGTCTTCAAACTAGACAGCTTTCAGACTTGTGGACTTCAACTCCCAGAATTCCATCTCCAGCCATGTTAGCTCAGGAATGCTGGGAGTTGAAGTCCATAAGTCTGAAAGCTGTCTAGTTTGAAGACCCTCGATCTTTTAGTGGATTTGCTGCTACAGCTGACCTTTTATTTGCTACCACAATGGAGCCTAACATTTCCGTTGCTATGCAGGATGGTTTGTCACGGAATTGCGCAGATGAAATTGGAGAAACTAACTACAAATTTGTAGTCTTTATTATCATCCAGCACAGGACAGCACAATAGTCAGGAACATCATGAGGCAAATTAAACAGTATACAGAACACCTAGAAGAAAAAAGGCGGGGGGAAAAGAGAACCCCCTCCCTCTGTTGTAGAGGATTAAATTCTGATCAGAAATATCAAAATGAGATTTTAGCCCACTAATACAAGAGACATCTGACTCTCTGAAGCCTCCATTTTTGTTTAAACAAAACAGCGTTTGAAAAAGGGCCCTGCAGAAACTTGGCCAACCAATCATAGCATAGATTGCATCATGCATGAGTCAGTACTCTCTAACTTAGGGTTGGGAAATCATGGCCCGTTTATGGCTTGTGAACTTCAACTCCCAGAATTCCTCCTCCAGTCATGTTAGCTCAGGAATGCTGGGAGTTGAAGTCCACAGGTCTTAAACTTGCCAAGTTTGAAGAGCCTTGCTGTAGATCAGTGACCTTCAGATTGACAATTTGATAAATTCAGCTGAACTCTTTTGGCATAGACACTCTTTCTGTTTTGTCCGTATCTCTGACAATCTGGATTTGAGGCTAATTGAGGTTCATTGTAAATTACCAGCCACTTTTAGTTTAAATGTGTTGTTTGAGAGATTAAAAAAAAAACCAGTTCTTGTCAAACCAGATTCCTTAGTTGGTTACATTTGTTCTTTGTAGGTATGAAAATAACATTTATAGTTCCTGGTCGACATTCCACAGAATGAAGCAAGATGCAAACATTTGTTGTAGACAGTTGTGGCAAGTGGGTACGTCTAGCTTAATGAAGAGAAGGTGACATTAGCAGTCTTCTAACATTTGAGGGACTGTCAAGGAGAAGAAGTCGACCTATTTTCCAAAGCACCTGAAGGCAGGACAAGAAGCAATGGATGGAAACTTATCAAGGAGACTGGGGAATTCTGGGAGTTGAAGTCCACACATCTTAAAGCTGCCAGGGTTAAGGAAACACTAATTTAGAAAGCAAATGGACACCGCATGCTTATTTTTAGAATACCATCAGCAAATCTTAAAAGCAAACAGGCAACGTATCCTTCTCCTTTCACTCACTCCTCACTTTTCCCTTTCAAGGAAAAAAAGATAAATATTTTAGTGCATTATTAAGAGTGAGTTTATAGTCTGGAGATGTTGTAGCAGAGCAGGGGTCTTCAAACCTGGCAACTTTAAGACAATGCTGGCTGAGGAATTCTGTGAGTTGAAATCCACAAGTCTTAAAAGTTGCCAGGTTTGGAGACCTCTGTTGTGGAGGATTAAATTCTGATCAGAAGTATCAAAATGAGATTTTAACCCACGAATTCAAGAGACATCTCGACTCTCTGAAGCCCCCATCTTTGTTTAAACAAAACAGCATTTGAAAAACGGCCCTGCAGAAACTTGGTGGCATCAGATAATTTTACGTGATTTGTTTTTGTTTAATGTTCTTACCCGAAGTCAGGGCTGTTCTTCTGTCCTCAGAGAAAGACCTTGACAAAGAAAAGCCATAGCTTGGGCCTCAGTTCTGGGCCTCAGGCCAAGTTTTGGAGAAGAACCAGTTTCCCTGGAGATGTTGACCTCCATTGCTTCTAGGTTCCACCCGGGACTCTGGGGCCATAAATCTGGAGAGTTCAGGGTTAGGTTGCCTAGTTCAATCTAAAATTAAACTTTGCTTCGTGATGGGATTTCATCTCTTCTCCATCAGTAATTGGCTTTTAAATGGGCTTTTCATTTTACTTATTTGTTTATTTACAAATCTGTGTATGTATGTATTTCTTTATTCATTCATATCTCCCCGCCCCCTTTATTATTTTCACGAATAACTCAGGGCAGTGAATATATCCAGCACACACACACACACACCTCCCTCCTCCTATATTCCCCACAACAACAACTGTGGTGTGGATTGGATTGAGAGAGAGGGGGACTAGCCCAAAGTCAACCAGCTGGCTTTTATGGCTAAGGCGGGATTTGCACTCAGGGTCTTCCAGTTTCCAGTGCCTTAACCACTAGACCAGACTGGTTGGAAACCCTTTCATGCCTTTCATGTCTAAGATGAGACTAGAACTTACAGTCTCCTGGTGATTGGCCTAAAGCCATCCAGTTGGCTTTCATATCTAAGGTGAGACTAGAACTCACAGTCTCCTGATGATTGGCTCAAAGTCACCCAATCCACTTCCGTGCCTTTGATAGTCCAAAAAGCCTTTCACTCATATTTCAAGGACAAAGGTGTGTTACTTCAGTATCTAAGGGCCTTCTGCATCTAAGAGCCATGGTGGCGTAGTGGTTAGAATGCTGTACTGCAGGTAAACTCACTGCTCGTTCCGTAAGTTCGATCCTCACTGGCTGAAGATTGACTCAACCTCCCATCCTTCTGAGGTTGGTAAAATGAGGACCCAGATTGTTGGGGGCAATAAGCTGACTCTGTAACCCACTTAGAGAGGGCTGTAAAGCACTGTAAAGTTGTATATAAGTCTATTGCTATTGCCCTTCCTTCCTTCCTTCCTTCCTTCCTTCCTACCTACCTACCTACCTACCTTCCCACCTTCCTACCTATCTACCTTCCTTCCTTCTTTGCTTACTTACTTAGTTACTTGTGGTTAGAATGCAGTATTGCAGGCTAACTCTGCCCACAGCCATGAGATCGAACCTGACCTGGCAAGTCAAGGTTGACTCAGCCTTCCATCCTTCCGAGGTTGATAAAATGAGGACCCAATTTGTCGGGTCAATAGGCTGACTCTGTAAACCACTTAGAGAGGGCTGTAAAGCATTGTAAAGTTGTATATAAGTCTATTGCTATTGCCCTTCCTTCCTTCCTTCCTTCCTTCCTTCCTTCCTTCCTTCCTTCCTTCCTTCCTTCCTTCCTTCCTTCCTTCTTTTCTTGCTTACTTACATACTTACTTGTGGTTAGAAAGCATTATTGCAGGCTAACTCTGCCCGCAGCCATGAGCTCGAACCTGACTTGACTGGCTCAAAGTTGACTCATCCTTCCATCCTTCTGGGGTGGCTAAAATGAGGACCCAGATTGTTGGGGCCAATAGGCTGACTCTGTAAAACTGCTTAGAGACGGCTGTAAAGCACCATGAGGTGGTATATAAGTTGAAGTGCTATTGCTATTGCTAATTTTTCCCTCCTAGGCTCCGTCTTCATGATGGCAAGCTTATAAAGGATCGCCGTTATCACCTCCGCACCTACCCGAATTGCTTCGTGGCCAAGGAGCTCATCGACTGGTTGATCGACCACAAAGAAGCCCCTGACCGTGAGACAGGCATCCGGCTGATGCAGAAGCTCATGGACCACGACATTCTTCACCATGGTTGGTGAACTTCTTAATTCTGGTTACATTTTTCCCAATGACATGAAGGTGCCTTATCCAAATGGTCTGGCAGTTCTCTGAGTTTTGGCCAATCACTGGGAGACTGTGAGTTCTAGTTCTACTTTAAGCAGGAAAGCGGACTGGCTGACTTTTTGCTAATCGCCAGGAGACTGAATTCTGCTCTCATTTTAGGCATGAAAGCCAGCTGCGTGCCTTTGAGTCAATCACCAGGAGCCTGTGAATTCTAGTCCTGATTTAGGCAGGAAAACAGGTTGGCTGAGTTTTCACCAATCACCAAGAGGCTGAGTTCTGCTCCCATTTTAGGCATGAAAACTGGCTTAATGACTTAGAGCCAGTTACCAGGAGACTATGAGTTCTAGTTCTGCCTTAAGACATGAAAAATGATTTTGGATCATTCCCTCTCTCTTAGCTCCACCCATCTCAAAAGGGTTATTGTGGTAAAATAAGAGGAGGAAGGTATATTAGGTATTCATTACCTTGAATTACATGTAAAAACAATAAACGAACACCAGATAAAACACACAAATTCGCCCTGTAATTACTTCCTTACAGGTGAAATGCAACAGAGCCTTTCTAATAATTTGGGAGTTTGCATTTCTGAGTCTTCTTTATGAAGTTGCTTTATATTTCTACTTTACTGACAATCTCTTCCTGTTAAAGAGATTCACGTGTGAGTCTTTATATTATTTGTTTTCTGAAAAGCATAAATTGGTATATCATCCCCAAGTTGGGGGAAACTTATGCTAGAGTCCTTAAGGATGTGAGTGAGGAATCAAGAATAAATCTGTAAAATAAAAAGTTTTTTTTTTTTAAAAAAAAATCTTATTCTTTTGGGAGTTTTCTTCGCCGACAGCTGGAAATTCTTGAAGGGGTGAAGGTTTGTTTCTTTAAAAAAGAAGGGGAGACTTCAAGCCCATCACAAAGAAATCAACCATTGGGGTAGAAATGCTTGCTGGGGAAAAAAAAAATTAGGTGTTTCCTGCTTGGTGAATATCCCTTTTCAAGATTAACTGGCAGAGGCCCCGCTACGAAGCCTGGGACTATCCCCACCTCCAAATACGCTTCAACTATTTGGAGATGGCTCAAAATCCAAATATGAAGGTTGTGGGATATTTCCTCACGGCTTTCTGGGGCCGAGGAAGAACAGTCAACAAAAGCTTGGACCAGCTCTGCGTGTATCTGAGAACTTCATGTGTAAACACAGAACAGGGTAAGGAATTTCTACCTTGATGGGGCATGTAGGTGGGGTGGTCAAAACCCAAAAATCCGAGGAACTGAAGTCTTCTTTGATGGCTTTTCCTTCATGGACACGAAGCAAACATTCCACAGACACCGATGCATATTTTCGGGGCTGTAGTGCAGTGAGCAAATAGGATAGTTGGCCCGCCCGGGGAGGGGGGGGTGCTTTTCAGAAAGGTAGCTAGATGAGGATGCCCCAAAGGTGCTTTTTTCAAGAGGCAACTGGACTTCCTTGTTTTTCCTCTGAAGATGCTTCGCTTCTCGCCCAAGAAGCTTCTTTAGCTCTGACTGGATGGTGGGGAACGGAAGGATTTATAGTCCTTGCAGACAGCTGGTCATTTGCATCCTTTTAAGAGAGTCCTTGAGGCCACTTGGAGATTTATCTGTGTCCTCGTCCACTGGTTAATTGTCGTCACTGTTAGAAAGTTTCTCTGTGACGACCCGGGGGCGTGGCACAAAAATAACAAAAGTCACCGAAGTAGATAAATTCCCTTTAATGCCTCCAACTTGGCCCCCAATGTCCAGTTGTTTTTATAAGAGATCAAACTCTTCTAAAAACAGCCTACGAAGGGAAGAAATACAGTCCGAACCCAAAGTAAAGATAATTAGAAATTTTAAAAAAACCAACACAAACCACACTGAAGTAATTAACACGACAGGCCAGGATGATACATTGCAGACTTCCAAAAGATAATGCAGCATCCACAGTTGGGAGGGTGCCAAAACCCAGATAAGCCTCAACAAAGATAATGCACGCTTTGCTTCCAGCAACTTTGCCCTGAAATTTGCCCTTTTAAACAGACTTCCCAGCTGCAGCTCATGAAGGGGATCAGGGCCCTTTTCTCCCCCGTAAGCCACGTTGCTCCCTTCTCCGTTCCTCCCTGCATGCCCTAGGATGAAGAGGGGATGGCCCTGGGTCTTCCTCTGAATGCCCAGCCAGACTGTGCCCTTCCCCCGTTTCTTCCACAGCCACCGGAGCCACACTCCCACTCCCTGTCAGCTGCTCAATCTCCCCCTCAGAATCAGACTCCAACAAGGGCATGACATTCTCCTTAGTTCCAGGTTGCTTCTCTCCTTGATTAGTTTCCATCCATTGTTTCTTCTCCTGCTCTCCTGCTTTGCAGAATAAATTGACCCCCCTCCTCTTTGTGGCCTCCTCTTAGATCCCACGACACCAGGACAATGCAAATGTTAGAAATACACACCCTCTGTCCCACCATCATAAGATCTTCTTTCGCGACCTTATGCCAAGCAAAGTCAACGGGAAGGCCGGATTCCCTTCACAAGTTCGCTAACTTAACAACTGCAGTTAACCATGGTGGCAGGAAAGGTCGTAAAATGAGGCAAAGCTCACTGAACAACTGCCTCGCTCAGCAGCGGACATTTTGGGCTCAATTGTGGTCGTAAGTCAAGGACTATCTATTCAAAAGTGTCACATGTAAACACTTTGCCAAGTTCAGCAATGAGGTGGTAGATAACAAGAGCACAGAGCGGGATTTAATGGACGGGCCATCTGTTCTCCAATGGGGGAATGTTTGCAGAATCTGTCCCTTCTGCCTGAATTAGGCAGCAGCTCGGTAAACATTCAGTTTCACACAGCCTGCTGCAGCATCCGTCTCGAAATAAACGAAATGCTGCTGTGGGGCTCCGGTGGAAGTGCAATTAGTTTGGGGTTAATTATTAACACTCACAGAGCCAGTTTGGCCTAGCTGGTAAAAGCATCAGGCGTGAAACTTGAGAGAGGGTGAGTTCAACTCCCACCTTGGGTACATAAATAAGATAAAATAAATTAAAGCAAAATGAAAAAAAAATGATTCATGATCTCTGTCATATCTTTTAGTAAAATCATTTAATATATGTCTGTCTGCCTGCTTGTCTATCATCATCTGTCATCTATCTATCTATCTATCTATCTATCTATCTATCTATCTATCTTAATCCTTTATCTCTATCTTTCTATGATCCATCTATCATCTATTTATCTCAATCATCTATCTGTCTATCATCTCTCTCTCTCTCTCTCTCTCTCTCTCTCTCTCTCTCTCTCTCTCT